ACCAGGTTAAATGTGCCAGGCGGTCTCTATGAGCCAATCTCTGTGACCAGTCATCATCTACACAATGGTGGAAGCACACATCTGGCAGCTGGCATAGCTCTTACTCCCCATCAGGCTGAGGGACAGCCTTGTAGATGATATTGAACTGCCTGGGAACACAATTTCCTTCATGCTAGCTTGTTGCTCCAGATGCACGAGACATGTTCTTTGTACATAAAGAATCACAGTAATTCTCACAAGCCCATATATCCAGATCAGAGCTAGTGGACTTGGCAGTTCTGAGCTGTTTGGCCATGGGCAAGCACCATCCTAGGGAGCACTTTCAGGGAATTGTATCAAACTGCTTTTGGATAGGTAGGACTTCTTTTGTGAGAGTGCTTTTAGTTTAAAGGATGTGCCAAATTTAAAAGACCAAACAAGTTCACTGAATAATTCAGGTTGGAAGAGATCTCGTTTCTTGCTCCTGCTCCAGCTGCAGTGTTTGTACTAATCATTATATCTTAAAGTTCTATTTCAGACCTGATGTAATAAAGTGCTATACTTTCCCCTCTTTTTCTCCTCTAATAGATGGCTTTATTTTGCAGGTAGTGCTGCTCCTGCTCTGAACAGGGTCTCTTCTCCAGGCACAAGGCATGGTAAAGCCACAAGCCTTGTGCCCTCAGCCTCTTTACAAAGGGCACATGCAGGAGCAGAGTCAAAACAAAGAGTATTTAATTTATGTGTGCTGCATCCTGGCCTGACAGCAGTGGAGTGAATGGGCACAAGGAACATGCTGAGACAGAAGCATGCCACACTACTGAGGACAGATTGTTTCCACACTGAGGCTTTGAGACTGATTTTTCTTTCTTACACCATGACTTGGATCCAAGTGTAGTTCAAGACTATGAGGTGCTGTGAACATCAAGTTAGCCTTGGCCAGGCTGTGGCAAATGCAGAGTGGATATGGTTACACTGTCTGGACATGGGCGCAGCTCTCACTCCTGATGGGCATGGCTTATGTGGGTTATCCCACCTGGATGCTGGGGCTGGCTGAATTCTGTGAGGAAATGCTGCCTTTGGGAGCTTGTCTGAAATTAGAAAAACTCACCTTGAATAAGGGATAACAAGGATAAAGTTTAAGGGCCAGGTTGTCAAAGTATTTAGGCATTTTACTGCTATAACTAATGGAATATCCAAAAGCCTATCAAATGCATTAACCATTAGAAAATTGCATTTTATACAAACCACATAGCCTGCTAGTGCCAGACTTGTGTGCCCTTTGGTCAGCAATGTCCCCAGCACTACCTGCAAAATAAAGCCATCTACTAGAGGAGAAAAAGAGGGGAAAGTATAGCACTTTATTACATCAGGTCTGAAATAGAACTTTAAGATATAATGATTAGTACAAACACTGCAGCTGGAGCAGGAGCAAGAAACAAGGAAACTACAATGGGAAAGAAAATTACAAGAGCAAGGGAATAAGCAAAAAACAAAGCCAGAAGAATAAAATAGAAAAAAAAATCTGTATTTAACAAAGTGCAGTCTGCAAAGTAACCAAAGTCCAGAAAGATATTTATGGACTCGAATCAGCCCTGCCAGATCAGGGGGACACCTGGAGAAGGCTGCTGTGGGCCTGAGTTCTCAAAGAAAGTGGTGAGGTGATCCATGTGTTGCAGCTCTGGGGACCCTCACGCTGGCCTTGCGGTCATCCTAGAGTTCATTTGGGTCTGATGCCCTCATCTTTGAGGATATAACGCTGCTCCAGGCTTTCCCCTCATGTCTTGCAGTCTTGGCCTATGTCTGCTGGGAAAACCCAGGCATCCCTTGGCCCTTCCTCAGGTGCTGGCAGTCTGGTCTATGAGGAGTCACTGCTCACATAGCTCAAGGCAACACAGATGTCTCCGGTACCACACGAGCTGAGCCTTCTCAGCTACAACCTTAACAGGTTTGCTACTCAAAAATAATTCCCTGCTTTTTAATTCCACCAAATAATGTTGCTGCAAATTTCCTACTCTCCAATAGGACAGACTGTTGTCCTGTCACACAGGCAACTACTGTCCTGTCACGAAGGTCACTTGCCAAACAGCTTGGTTTCTTGAATTGTAACCTGAAACACAATGCAGGCAGGGCAATCACTGTCTTCATCACAGCAGTGTGAGCACAGCCCCATCCCTTAGGGCAGATGTTTCATATGGCAGGGGAAAGGGGGAAACATGAAGGATGTGGGTGGTGGGTAGGAGTGAGGTAATGTGGAGAGGGTGATATCATGGTACAGCCACAAGGGTTGGGTGAGGGCTTAAGAATTTTTGGCTTGTTTAGCCTCATTTCCCTGGGAAACGAGGCTTACAGTATCATTTTGGGTGTATATGTGTTCACATGCTGTAATAAGGGAGAGGCTGAGCCTTCAGAGCAACCCTCATGAGGCACCAGAGATCCAGGGAGTGATCTTGACAGTGCCCCAAGAATGGAGAAAGCCTCTGTTGAAGCCTGAATTTTATTAAACACAGAAGAATGTATCCACCCATGAGATGTACACTTGCATGTGTCCAGGCTTCCCTTGATCTGCTTCTCAGGCAACAGCTTGTTACTGAATTTCAGTTGTGCAGCCACTTGGGGATAAGTATGTATCTCAAAATCTGCAATCCCATATGTGTAACAAAATGTTTGTTTTAGAAATACCACTGACTGGAAAGTAAGCATCAGCAGAAATTAAATACTGGTATATGTAATAGAACAACATCTTCTCTGTAGAGCAATGATTCCCAATTTCTTTGGCCCACCAGAGCATTGCAGCCTTCAAAATTTCAGGCAAACATCGTTCACCCTTATAATGAAGCTTTTAGCTGAAAGCATTTTTATGATACTTCAGTTGTGTAGCCAGAAATGATGAATTACCTTATCCATTATGGCCACAGCTTGAAAACACAACTGTAAATGCATTTGCTATCCCCTTATTCTAGTGCTTCTGATTCAAGCTGCGTGTTTTGGGTCCATCATGAAAGAGCAAAGATTCCCACCAGATTTATTTGTCATGCACTCAGGTTGTACAGACTGTTCCTTTGCAGGTTTTAAATGGTGAAAGTTTGGGAAAAAAGTGAAAAGTTTGTTGGATATCATGTATTTGGTTATAAAACGTGTGCTGTTGTACACAGCAATAAGGCTCTGGTGGCTGCACTGAGATTGTTTTGTCTTGTGCTCACCCTTTCTGATGCTTGTATGAGAGATGCTTTTTGGTTTTTACTTCTACCTATTTCCACATGATAGAAACTAACTTGAAGAAATATATTTTCGTGTACCTGAGTGTCAACACAGAATGGGAGATTTAATCCTTTACTTTCTGTTCCATATTTAGTCCTTTGAGTACACAGAAGAAAAATCCATGCTCATGGTGACCTACATAATCCAGCAGAGTTCCTAATCACACCTGCATGAGGAGGCTGCCTGTGGTATCAGCAAGGGAATGTGGGCACTGGGAGACCCCTGCTAGTGTTCTGTTCTGAAGGCTGATATGAGTCACTTTTACTCTCTGGAAACAGAGAGCCTCCTCACATAACACAGCTTCCACAGAGCTGAGTATCAAGGGCACAGAAATTGATGAATCTTTTAAAATGTGTTTATCATTGGCTATATGTTTTTTTCTTATCGTGGCACTCACTTCAGGGTGACTCAAGGTGAGCTTCTGCAAACTAGAGGCCAGCTGATTTCAGCCATAACTATGCCTGTGCTCTATCATGAGGCAATCAATGACTCCAAAACAAAGAGGTACATCATGAAAGGTGAGTTTAAAAAAACCAAAACCAAGCAATGAAAATCACATTGCTCAGCATCAGCAGTGAAATAATTAGACATCTCTTCAGGATGGATTTATAGACTAGTACCATTCACAGGCAGAAGCAGAATTTGCTGGGGAGGATGCTTTATAAATGCAAAATTAGTAACAGTAGTCCTAAAAACAAAACGGAGTAAGGAAGCAGAGCCTGAGGAAGCACAGAAAAATGGCACAGATGCCATGAACAGACCAGATGTGGGCTGATCGACGGTAATTCTTCCCAGAGTTTTCTCTTTGCAGCAGGATACTGGAATACTCTTTGGTCTTTGTGAATGAGGGTACACATGCCAGCATCTCCCTTGGTGCCTGCCTGCATTGAGGGCACAGAATAAAACAGAAAAAGAAGACAGCTTATGGGCATGCTTGGGCAGAGCGAGATGGTATTTTAAAGCCAGGGGTGTCATTTTTGGTTACAACAAACCTCAAAACTCGAGAAAATGCCTTTGACAACTGGTGTCATAGTGTTGCTTGCTGTGAGAGAGATTTCTGTATGTGCCCAAGGCAATGGGTTTCTTTGCATTGTCACATCCTCTCTTTTAGCTACTGGAGGCTACTGAAATTCAGAGATAAAGAGCTAAAACAAGAGGATCACAAGTATTTATACACAAATGAGCACCAACAGGCATTTCAGGTGGGATTTTGAGCCCCTGTGCCTGGCATGAAGCCCTGGCTGCCTGTTTTGCTCAAAGAACATTTGGTTCCTAACATACATGGGTCTAAACCCTTATTTTTAAACCTGCCCACATCCTGACACGAGTGACACCTGTAGCTGTGGCCAGCACTTCAGTGGCCACAGGGCTGGAGCATGGGGGACAGTGGATTGAGTCGGTGAGTGAGTCCCGCCTGTGGAAAAGCCACCTCGTGCCTCAGCTTCCCCATTTTTGTGACATTGTGGGGGGCGGCTGCGACCCCTCGGCGGGATGCTCTTGACCCGGCTGGCGGGCATCCGGGCAGCCCCGGCACGGCTGTCGCCAGTACTCGGGAACCCCCACCGGGACAGGGCTCGGGAAGCCTCGCCGGACCCGAGTGCTGCCCGGCGGGGGTGTGAAGCCGGGCGTTGTGGGGCGGCAGCCGAGTCCCCTGGACGCCCCTCAGCCTCCTGCTGCCTTCAAAGGCCGCCGAGGTCGCCGCGGGGCGCCGAGGGGCCGGCGGCGGGAGGGACGGGGGCACCGCCGAGGGGCGGCGGGGAGCGGGCGGGGGCCGGGGAGGAGTCGGCCCCGGGGCGGGGGTCGGGCCGGGCCGGGGGTGGAGCCGCAGGCTGGCGGGTCGGGGCGAGGGGGAACCCTCCCCTTCCCTTCACGAGCGAGCCGGAGCCGGGGAAGGCGCCTCCGCAACTCCTCCTGCCCCGCCGGTGCCGCCTGCCGCCCGCAGCATGGTGAGAGGGGTCGCCGGGCGGGAAGTTCGGCGGCGGCCGCCGCTCCGCCGGCCCCGGCCCGGCCCGCGCTCACCGCCTCCCCGCTCCTTCTCTTGCAGATCTGGAAAACTCTCCCGCTGCTCTGCGCCCTGCTGGCCGCCGCCCGCCTGCGAGCCGAGGTAGGCGCGGGGCCCCGGCGGCGGGACGGGGAACGGGACGGGACGGGTGGGGACAGCGGGGACGCCGCGGCGGCCGCAGGGGAGCGGCCGGGACCGGGGAAAGTGGCAGCCGGGGCGGAGAGGGAAGTTGCGGGGCCGACGGGCGCCTCGGTGGGGCGAGGGGCTGTGTCCGCGCCGGGGCCGGACCCCTGCATCCCGCCACCGGGACGGGTCCCCGGGGCAGCTCCTTTTCCTCCCTCCCTCCTTTTCTCCATCCCTCCCTCCCTCTCTCCCTCCTTTTCTCCATCCCTTCCTCCCTCTCTCCCGCGCGCTCTTTCCCTCGCTCTTTTCTTCCTTTCTTTCATTGCAATGACATTGAAAACCTTTGAAAGCCCCCAGCTGCAACCTCCCCAGCTCTGTTGACAGAAAGCAAATGGTGCCTGCATTCCCGGTTGCGGCGGCCTCCCTAAAAAGTGAAGTCAGAAACAAAATATTTGATAATTACGGCAGGGAAAATGTGGAAGTGATTTGAGGAAAATGAACTCAAGCTGGGCTGGGAAGGGAGGCCGAGCCTGCCTTCGGAGAAAAGCGGTCCCGCTCGGGGGGCAGCTCGTCCTCCCTCCCTGCATTTTTTCTCCCTACATATTTCTCCCAGATGGCGAGACCCACCCTTGAGCATCGCAGTTTGGCTGCACGAAAAAAAAAAAAAGGCAAGCATAAACACGTCTGGTTCCCTCTGTTTCTGCCTCCCACCCGTGGACTGTGCTGCCCGGGTTATAGTACAGAATGGGATTTAGGATGGAGCCCATCGCTGTTGCTCTGTCCCTGAGCAAAGCTCTTTGTGAACTCCCTGCAACGGCCAGGCGAGCAGCAGATGAGAAACAGGGTGGTTGTTAGCCAACACTTTTGGGCTCTGGTCTCTGCTGTCATGAAAACCAAGGGGAGTGGGAATGAGCTGTAGTATGGACCAGCATTTCACATCTGCCTGTACATGATAATACTGTAACACACGTTCTTCCCAAAGCGTGACATACTTATGTAGTGAGTGTTTCCATGCATCCTCTCCAACACTGTCCTGAATAAGCTAAATCGTGTTTATTCATTTTCTTAGGAACCCTAAATAAGTCTTAATTCTGGTTAATATGCACCAACACCTGTGTAGGAAGGAGGTGCACAGCATAAGAAAAATTATAATAACAGCTAAATAATGATGACACTGGTCTGAGTAAAGCCTTCTGGGATCAGTAACCCAGAGAAACAGCCAAAATACGTTTGGCCCTGCACTTGTGATTTCATTGGTGTCACTAACATTGTCGAAGCGCTAAATCCTGCTTTTTGCCTAATGTTCTCTAATTTGTAGTACCTGGATAGCTTCCCAGATGTAAGTACTGTCATGTCTCTGTGTCTCACCTGCAAACTGAAAGTAAGAAAAAATGTACAGCCATCATGTTCAAAACCTGGTTTTAAAGGCCAGTTCATGCTTGAATGAATAAATGAATTATGACTGGCTTCAGAGATAATGGTCCAAGTGGCAAACCAGTAAATGTTTTGGTTTGATTCCAGTCTAAGTTCAGGAAAACTTGAGTCTGATGACTGAGGTCTGGGTCTCATTTCAAGGAAAATGGACACTTCAGGCAACTTTTATTTTGGGGTTCAGTTTGATTCCTCTTTGCTAGTAGCTGCCAAGCAGTGAATATCAGCTCAGTCAGGGGTAGCATCCCACCTTCTGGGATATTTAGACCTTCTCATTTTCTAGGGAGTGGGCTGTGCTTGAAGGTGGGCTGCTTGTAATTCAGAGACAGCTTTGATGGTTACCCACTTCTAAATGTTTCTTGTTACTACTCTGCTGTATCACTGGCATTCAGTAAGATTAGTGTGGCATTTTCCTGTGTGGTTTTCCCTTTCCAGATTTTGGAAGCGATAACCCTCTCTGTGCCTTCTGTTTCTGCTGCAGCTTGCACTTTGTCCCTTTCAGTACATTCAGAATATTAACACTGAGCCTTAAGCTTCTAATCCTTTTGTTAGCAAAACTCTGAGTTGTACTGGGGTTCTTGTACAACATTCATTTCTACAACATTGTTAGGTGCATAATTAGAGTCCTTAAGGAAAGAAAGAAATTGCTTCAGTAAATGTTCCTGGCATAACTTCATGCAGACTGGAAAATCTGAGGCGTGCCAGAACTTTGGAGCTTTTCTTGGCCTGGTTCAGTAATAGTCACAAGAGCAATAGACGGTGAACTGTACTCCTCGGATGGAGGCCAGCCACCAGCTTCAGACAGCCCCTTTTATCTCTCTCTTCCTGGGTCAGACTCAATGAGGTGGCTGTTCACTCATATTAACAGGGATACTGCAGATGTGAAGTTACTCATATTCTCAGCTGGGGCTCCCAAAGCATATGGAGTGATTTTTGGGAAGCATCCATCACGATAGAGGAAAAGGGAGAGGCTTGAAATGTCTGTTGAACGTATTTAAAGTCAATCAGTTGTTCACTTCCTGCTGGAGTAAGTTACCTAGTTAACACTGGAGAGGAGTCCAGGTACTATTTGACTCTGCCCATTGAGGTCTGAAGGCTGGTATGTGGGACTGCTTCCATACCAGCATCATTCTGAGTCCCACCGGGTTACTTGTTTCACAATAAGAGTGAGGGGTTTTCTTGTTTTCATTTTTGCTTTAACCTCATTCAGAATCTTTGAGAAAGTTATTTGCACTGTGAATTTTAGATATTAACAAAGAGGTTTATGCCAGCATGAGTATATTGGTGTGAGCTGTGAATACAAGCCCTTTCTTGAATCCAGCCTCGCCAAGAAGAGAGGTCACTGACCTGGCCTGCCTTCTGCTCCTTGCAAGTTTTCTGGCCATTTGTAATAATCTCTTGGGCCTGTAGCTGTTCTTCTGAACTATCCTTAACCCATTCCTGGCCACATGAGCCAGCCTTTGGAAAGAGTTATGTGTAAATGGTTTGATCTGACTTGTCTCATTTTGGCTCAAAAGGGCAAGCAGAGAGAGGAAGGCCAGCAACTCTCCTCTTGCGAGGAGATGTACAGACAGATCTGAGGCGCTATAACCCCTGAGCAACACAGTGGTGACAAATATCTGGAGGCAGATTCACAACCTTTTCTAAAAGCATGGTGTTTGCAGTGTCTACATCTGTTGTAACCTTGGGATGATTTTTTTTCACCTGACCTCTCTTCCCTCAATGTAATTTTTCTATATGGAAAGCTGAAAAGGGATGTTAAGGGGAGAGAAAAGGCAGAGGTTTCTGTTTGCTTAACTCACCTAAGTGCTTCCTCTTGATCTGACTTGGCTGCTTTTTCATGTAAGGAGAGCAACTCTTGACTCTTTCCAAGACTTATGCCCTTTGCCAGCAGAGTACTTGTGTGCACCAGGGGATTTGGAGCTGGGAATTCAGCTGGTCTTCACAGGACTTGGTGTACTTCCTCCCACTGGGCTGTTCACACAGAGTAGCCAGCATCAGGAGCTTGCCTTGGCCAAACTTTTCCCACATTTTTGCAATAGACAAAACCTAAAAACTGATGTATTAATAAATGAAACGGATTAAATTTAAATTGCGATCCCTGTGTAATTGCATAGATGTATTTGGCTCTGAAGCCATCGTTTTAAGAAGTTTGCCTTTTGAAATTGAATTATAGAGACTTTATGAATAGTTCAGCCCTGCTTTCACTGATAATTTAGCCAGGACAGTGGACAGAAAAGGCAGCATGGTGCCAGTGATTTGGGTAACTCAGGCTGTTTTTAATAGGCACTGGCTTTGTGCAGTACAACCCAGCAGTAACACATTCATAAAATAATGTAATAAAAGTGACTTCCCAGGTCTAGTCTAGCAATCACATCTTCAGTGGAAGGAAAGATTGCATCTATTTTTTCTTCTTGAGCTGGTTTTGGAGTGATAGGTGTCTTCCTTCTTGAAATCCTTCCCTTGAGTGCCAGACCAGGCATTGCTGGAACTGCATCTCAAGACAATAAGCACCTTTTAAATGGGAAGGCAGGGAAGAAGTGATTCTTTCCTGGGAGCACAGCAAAGGCTCATCAGTGCAAAGCCTATTTTTTAAGGTGCGTGCTGTGCCACCAGGCAGCTGCTGCGCTGCAGATGTCCCAGGAGTTGGAGTCTGGGAGATGGACCAAACGGTTCCATCCGAGGCACCTCATTGTGCTGAAGTTACTGGCCAAATGCCCCGTGTGGGAGTGTTTAAACAACCTCCCCGGCTGTTCTGAAGGGCTGCAAGCTCTGAGCAGCGGCGTGTGTGGCACGAGCTCTGCAGCAGACGCGATGTCGTGTAGCACTTACATGTGCGTGGCACCCAAATGCTGCCTCTCAGATGGAGCTGCTGTCAGAGCCGAGCTGCTTTGTGCAAACGCGCCAGTGGCTGAGTGAATGACTTTATCTGCCAGAGTGCAAATTCCTTGCCGGTAATTAACAGGGGGCTGCTGCTGGGGGCTGCCGAGGAGGCAGCTCTGCTCCCAGCACAGGAGGAAGGCACTGGCTGAGTCTCCTGTTGCATTTTCCAGCTGCTGTTATTGGTACAGCTGCTTACTCATCGGGAGGCTTCGGGACACCTTTGATCTTTCTTGTGTGGTGTTACATGAGCTGAGGAGTGTTTCTCTTTGTACAGAAGAGAGTTTGTCACGAATCTCATCCAGATGTCTCTTCCCAGACTGATGAGACTCCCATTAACCAGGCTGTGTTTCCGCCACATATTCTGTGAGCTAGATGAGATTGGTTCCCAGAAATGCCTTGTTTACCTGGGTTGCATCTGTCTTTGCAGGGAGGTTGCTTCTGCTCTACCATGATAGCTATGCTAATCTGTGAATAACCAGCATTTCCTTGGAGAGATTTATCTCTCACAGCCTTGTGTCTGAGTTTAGCAAGCAAAAGGAGCAGCCTGCTGTTGTGCTGTGAAGTGTACTTCTACAGCTGCATCTGGGGGTAGACAAGGGGTTATACACATCTGGACTTTACCAGGGGTTGTAGGTTTTGCCACAACTGTGTGCAGTTAGGTGTGA